CGAGTCCCGTAATTGATTTATCGCGATTTAACCCCGAAGAATTTCCTATGGAAGTATGTATCAATAAAGTATATAGCAATTTAAAAAATTTTTTTTAGAAATTTATGAAAATTTGATTTTACTATATCCATTTTTTTTTGTTTTTAAAGGATTGTGACGAACGTGCTCGAATGCAACGCGCACGAGAGATGGAGGAAGGTGTTGAGCCTCCTCCCGGTTATAGGCCTAATTATCCTACGGGTATACAAGTTCATCCCAATGGAATAACGGTGGACAGTTTAGCGGCATTGTTCCAAGCACATGCCGGTATTCAAGCTGCCGCTCTTACAGCCTTATCCCAAATCGACTTTACATTAATTCCAAATATCGAAAGACCTGCACACACGCAGGTAAGTCCTTTTTTATTCAAATTTATATTTATTTAACATTTATATACAAAATCATAAATTCTATCGATTCTTCATGAAATCAATTTATATGTTAAAAAAATAAAAATTATAACAAATATAAGTATACATATAAAATTTTACCAGAATAAGAAGAATACAGATTGGGATATAAAAAATGCAGAAATCAACATCAGACAAAAATTAACTTATAATTTAAATTATTTGATTCTTAAAACGAAAAAAGAATTTCATTTTATTACAACCATTACAACCAGTCTGAATTAAAAATGATGGTAGTACATAAATTAATGACATACAACATTTTTTTGTTTTTCTGTCATGCATATTCAATTTCTAAAATATTAGTATACATTTATAATTCATGTTATATATTCACTATTTTGCTGTTTTGTAATACAGGTCGATTATGTCCATTGTCTGGTACCGGACTTAAGGTCGATTACAGCCTGCTCTTTTTATTGGGGTAAGATGGATCGTTACGAAGCGGAACGTTTATTGGAAGGCAAGCAAGAGGGTACTTTCTTGCTGCGAGATTCCGCGCAAGAAGAATTTTTGTTTTCCGTGAGTTTCCGTAAATATGGACGCTCGTTACATGCCCGAATTGAGCAATGGAATCATAAGTTTAGTTTTGATTCACATGATCCAGGAGTTTATGCTTCTGAAACAGTACGTATATGTATATTTGTTCACATTTATTTGCATTTCATTTCAATAATCGATAAACACGATATAATCATGATTTATATATATATCTTTACAGGTATGCGGTTTAATCGAACATTATAAGGATCCTTCATGTTGTATGTTTTTCGAGCCTATGCTCACTATCCCGTTACATCGGAATTTCGCATTTCCGCTACAGCACCTGTGCAGAGCGGTGATAACCACGCGAACAACATACGATGGCATAAATAAGCTACAGTTGCCAAAGACACTTAAGAGCTATCTCAAAGAGTATCACTATAAACAGAGAGTACGAGTCAGACGATTAGACACAGAAAATGATTCACACACGGACTGTAGATCCATATCATGTTTACCGATATGAATCTCTTCGTATTAATATTCGATAGAATTTTATTATATGTTGCATAATTATGTTTCTTTACCTATATTTACAGAGTTGTACTGCCGTATCAAATACGAACGGTACATGCATATAATATTGTAATATCAGGAATATCATCACTCTGACACACAGTTATACAAAATATCATTGCAATATTAGCAATAAAAGAATTGTATTCGTCTTAAGCGATACTAGATACTGGGGGAGATGGCGTAGTATAATTAAAAAAAATGAAAAGAGGAAAAATAGGACTTGTGCAATTTCGAGCGCGACAAGTGTCTATGTTCATTTGGTGAGGTCTAGTAATCTTCTATGTAAATACATCAGGAAGGCAGTGTTTCATACACTCGCACAGTATATTGCAAAATCGTGTATTATGTAAACTTCTATTATTGCTATTGTTCTTATTGTTACTACTATACTTATTTCTTTATTTTATTTCTAACTATATTATCTTTTAATCATTATTTTGAATATGTATAATTTAATCTTAATTAAAGTTACGGGAACACGCAGTTTGTATTCTGATAATTTTTATAGATCAATACCAAAACTTAACGTCTGAAAGGCGTGGCAATTTAATTTTTATTCTTATGAAATTATGCCATCAAATTTAACCTATTTATGTAGCTGAAATTATTAAAAAAAAAAGAAAGAGAGTGAGAGAAAGTAGGAGAGTCTGCAAAATCTGGTTCATATTACTCCTATTGTGCCTATTTATAATGTTAAATATTATTAGATAAAAGCTGTCTGTGTTGATGTTTCTCATTGCCAGATACGAAAATCTATAATTTGTGTAAATTCTTTAAATTTCAACATATGGAGTGAATATCAGATGCAGTGAATTGAATTTGGAGCAACAATGCAAATTATTGAATATTGATAAATTTGCAAAATATATAATATTATAGAAATTGTTAAAAGTATTGGTTAATGGTTATTCGTATAATGAACTTCGTATTAAAAAATAAAAATTTAATATTTATTATGTGTATATATTTTACTTATCTCTAATCCTAATATCGAGATTATATAGACATTTTTAGAAAAGATCTATATAATGATCAAAGCTTACGAAAAACAATTTTTTTAACTGTCATATAGTTTGTAATGTTTTTTTGAAAACATAGAAAAGTCTTAAACCTATTTAATTTTGTTTCCTATTTCTTGTTTTTTGCTATTTTTTACATCTTATTTTTTTACTTCTTATCTAAATTTTTGTTTTCTGTCGCCTGAAATAAAAGTGAACGAACTTTGGAAGAAACAGGAAATAGTAGCAAGAAATACAACTATTGTTAAAACAATCATAAAGGCGAGAAAAAAGATGTAAAAAATAAGAAATAGGAAACAAAGAGCATATTGTAGAATAGGCTTTAAACTATCATAAGAAATTATTCTACGTTATAAATTTTTTAATTTATTAAAAATATGATTTTGACAGATTTAAATATTTCCATATTTGATATATATTAACATAATAAAACAAGAAAGAAATATTTCAATATAATTTTAAATTGTTCGAAATAAAATAAATATCTCAATATCTTAGTCTTATCTCTTGGTTCTTATTTTAATACTGGATTCTTGTACCTATGCATGCAGATGTATATCTAAACTTCATGATAAATTTAATACCACTATTATTCTTCAAAATTTATATTTTTAGTATATTTCATATGAATAAATATAGTCTTGTTTTATAAATGAAATCCATTGGAATGTGAAACAATATAATTTTTATAAGTTGCAGGAACAAACAATCAATGTCCTAAAATGTATTGCGTGACTGGCAACATTACTTTGTAATTGAAGAGAAAGAAGAAAAAGAACAGGGCTATAAGAAAAATGTCTGTTTATATTAATGTAAGAAAAATATGGAGATTTCTTTTGTACGAAGGATTACAAGCGATAGATATAACGTCTTACATGCATAATTATAAGATTTGATATTATATTATATAATCTATACTTTCTATTATACTTGCATCGTAAAGATTATTATGTTACTTATGCGATTACTATATTATGCACAGAACTCGATTTAACTGATATCGATATATGTTTTAATTGGGATAAATCTAAAAATTACGATAAGCCGTGTAAAAAGGATACTGATAAAATTCCTTTCCCAGTCTTCTACCATATATAACTCAGTAACGAGAGTGTATCGAAAATACCAATACTTGAGAAAAGATCGTGAATTTCGTACAATGTTATCCATGATTATCACTTTAACTTCTGGCAAATCGACCTTAATAAAAGAATTATATAAATAAATAGCAAAGCACTAAAAAAATTATACAAATGCGCTTTTGTAGCGCTTTGTTAACGCTTTGTAAACGCTGCGTGCTACTTGGTAAACGCGATTAAACAAATTGATCAATCACAGAATTTTAAAATTACAACTTTACGTTTTCAATAATCTTCAACCGCGATTAATTCAAGTTATGTGTTTTTCTGCGAGCAACTAAAAAATCACTAATTGTTTTTGTATACTACGACTTTTAACAGACAGTAAGAAGGCTCATCAACTTTGATTAACCTAATCGGAGTCGATGTCAACCGTGATTGGTCAATTTTGCTGAATAACAAATGCAATTGGTCAGTTCTAACGTAACAATCAATCGATTAAGTTAACCGAAGTTGGTAAGACCGGCCTTAAGTTTGTTCACATTTCTTGCACTTTTGCACTCAGTATCTTCGTATTCTTTCTCTTCAATACTCGATAAATATATATTTAGCTCATTTTAAGTGTAAAAGTATTTAACTTTTTAAAGAATCAAGCAATATGCGAACAGATTATATGATATGTCGACAACGCTATATTTATAATTTCAAATCGAAAGATTTGTTTTCATGGAACACGTATTTACGAATTTATATTATTTTTAAATTAGATTAGACGCACTATTCCGCACTGGGACATATTAAAGGTACACTAATTTAATTTGAGTGTAGAAGTAAAATACAAATATTTCAAACTATAATGTACATATTATATATTTTACTTAACAGAACCATAACATAATGCATTTAACAGAATGTTTATTTTGCAACAGTTGAAAGTTTTCTTCGCGCTGATTGGATTATACTTTTAGATCTAGAAGAATGATCCTAACTCAGCAGCAACAATCATAAAACGATTGCAAAACTGTTGTATTTTGCTTAACGTAGTCATTATTTAGAATTTCACTGTTTTGATTTTTTTGACTTGTTCTATATTTATATTTATATTAAATATATGTTTACGTCAGTTTGTGTACGACAACGTAAACATGTCAGTACACATTGAATGTGTCCAATCGAATTTATTATTTTAGAAATAACGGAGTAATGTTCATTTGTATATATATATATATATATATATCTACAATATAGATTAACTTTAATCCCAGTTTGATTAATTCTCTATATCCTATATTTCTAATTCTTCGATTTAAAAAAAAGATAAAAAAGTTAAATCAAGATTAATTAATTAAATCTATATTAGTAGAGACAAGCATAAAAATATATCTCTCCCGGAACAAAACCTACGAAAGATTTCGCGATACATAATTATCAAACTCGTTGAGTGCTTTCCGCATCTCGTCGTATTTTGCGCGATCACACGCCTCGCGCAGCGGGAGCCAGTCAAATGCTTGATGTTCATTCGACAATCTCACAGGCTTGTCCAGATTAAGCAGCTCCGCCAACCAATAGATAACGATTTTTGGTTTTCCCTTCACTTTATACGACATTTCGTGCCTCACGTCCTCGAAGATTTTCAAATCATTTGATACAAATCCAGCTTCTTCTTGAGTCTCGCGCAAAGCCGTCTCCATATCAGATTCATCCAAATCAACGTGACCTAAGACACCGAGCAACACAAGTGACTATCAAGCCGAGTAATCTTTTTTAGTACAAAATTTTTACAGGAATTTTTTTAAATTAGAAAAAAGTAATCTTTAATCTTTTGTTATATTTTATTCAATTTAAATTCACAAGCAATAAAAGAAAAAATATAAAAATATTTACAAATTTTTCATTTTCTTTTGTCAATAATATTAGAATTTAAAAAGAAACTTCAATATAATGAATTCGGTCACTTATATTATACCAAAGAAAAACCTGAAAGCGATCATTGAAGCTTTTTTCATGTGACATTCTGAAAGCCTCTACTGTACACTATCAACACCAACATTATTTTTATAAAATTTCGTGAAGTAAGTATCACAATATCAATACTGTTGATGAAGTCGTTCAAAAATTGATATGGAGCGAATCCACCTCCACAATTGCTACATCCACAAATTATGGAATGTAAAGATAATATGTATAATTTTATAAGATAATGTATAATTATATAAGATATATATAATTTTATATATGTATACACTTACATTTACATAATTGTTCTTTTATTATACAGTCGCGCGATTAAATATTCAATAATGATATTTAGCAGATTCAACAATTGAGTGAATACTCGCTGTTATTGATATATTCTTTTAGATCCAATCAGAATTTTCAGAGATTTTCTAGAAGAATACATCAGTAGTAACGAGCACTTACTCAATGTTGAATCTACTGAACGCAACTATTGTCACGTTATATAACAGAATATACATGTATTATTTCATTATCGAAAATTGAATATGTTATGCCATTGCATTTAAATATTTTATATAGACTAGTCTTTAATGTGTAATTCAGTGTAGTGCGAGAATGACCAAATTCTCTAATCACACGTTCCCCATAAACTTAATCGCACGATGTGAACGAAACCTTAATCCGATTGTTCGCTAAGGCTAAGATTGTTGCGTAAAATTAACTTTAATCGCAATTAAATTTACTTTTTTTCTTTTTCTAATTTTATGAATTAGAAAAGCATAAGTAAAGCAAACGAAGATTAAAGTTAATCTTATATTAATGTAACCGAGTCTAATAAATTAAAAATAACGTTTAATTATCGATGTAAAAGCATACTAACCTTTAGGCGGTGTCCAGTGATGTTCTCCGTACGATGTTTGCATTAGCAGGTATTGAATAGTACCTTGAAATCGGCGAAAAATCACAAGACCGCAAGCCCGTTGCTGCAATGTCATGATGCTCAACAGCTGTGAAATCATTCACGAAGACAGTAAAGCCACTGAAATCCGCAATGCCCGTATCAAACCAGTGTTAGAAATTGCATGTTGGAAATCGATTCGACCAATCGGAAAAAGTTAAAGTAAAGTTTCGGAATGGCGATTTGAAATTCAAGTATTCATAAAGTTGTTTGCATTGTTTGAAATTTAAAAAAATTTTTGCATTTAAAACAAGTATATGTATATTCAGACACTAAAGAGAAAAAAATGGAAAATTATAAATCCAAAAAAGTGCAAGTAACGCGAACAAACATATAATCTGTTAAAATTGTATTTAAGATGATCTTAAATATAAGAACCGACTCTGAAATATCACTTTCATCTAATTTTCCAGTATATAATTTCAATATCGAGCAATGATTTTAGTCACATGATGAAACTAATTGAATATTTCTTCTTATCAGCACTAAAAATAGAATGCAATTTTAAAAGCGATTGCTAATTATTAATTTAAAATTAATCATCTAATACATATATTATATTTTTATATACGTTTTTAATTAAAAATAATTTTTATAACTGAAGCAAGCAACGAAAATTTATTTAATTCGCTGTAAAATTTTGACAAGATATATCGGGTAGAAATAAATTTTAAAAACATACTTGTCCCTTTGTGCGACTTAACGAATATTATACGAAATATTTTCGGTCTTCTTTTACTCGCAAGCAATGGTCTTCGAGTTCAGAGGAATGTAATTTTATTTTGTAACATTTTTTAATATTGTATTAGCGATATTTATAGAACTCAATACAATACTTATTTATTTCTTTTCTTGAATAGTCATCCGATTTTTGTACTTTTGCAAAGGAGAGTACAATTTTCACTTTTTCGTTCAGGTATAATTTTATTTTTAAATTTTCTAATGTATCTTTCTTCATGGAAACTGAAAATTATTATGACACTTGAGAAAAAATACTAAAATAAAAAATGAACTTTTTAATCATATCATTATGAAACTAACAATTTTATATATATGCTTAAATCATTTAAAAATTAATTTAGAGATTTATTGATCTAATTTTGAATTCGTTTTTAAATGAAATGGATGGCAGCAATTTCATAATGTATATAAGGATTTTATTAACTTTATTTCATACACATATGATGTACCAATTTTTCCTTGAGTATAGTGTTATTGTGACAATTTTCCACAAAGAAAAATATATAAGAAAATGTAGATATAAAACGATCTTCGAACGATTGTGAAAAAAGTTGTACTCTCCTTTCTAGCTCAAATATATGATAGAGATGAAACTTACAATATTAAAAACTTCACGACTAAACATGTCTGTCGTAACAAATTCGTCTAATTCTAAGAAGCGTATAATCAGATGTGACAACCAACAGGTTCTGCTTCTTAAATGAAATATTTTCCGTATTTCTATATTGTAATTATATGTACACATACACATTAATTGACAGTATCAGAAAGGAATGCGTTTACCTTCTCTTTTCACGTTTTTATCGAAAGAAAGAAAAGAAAATGTTCGATGACTCGATCATGTTATGAATTCGCACGTTTGACAGGAATCTGAATTGGGAAACAATGCGTGTTACCATTTTATTATAAACGTTTTGCTACATTTTGGCTAGATACCGATCACCAGAAAACACTTAGCAAAGCTGTATATGTATGTACCTATCTACAGAGACCGACGTGTCTATGTATGTAATTCACGTACGTGTGTTATGTGCGCGTCGAGTGGTTGTCGGGCGCAGCCACGCGGGCGATTACCGGCGGGAGTAATATGTTCTTTCGCGATACTTACATACAAAAAAAAAAATCACAAGAAAACTCCCCCGGCATTACGCCAATTTGACTCTAAGCGTCGCCCGTGTAGCTCTGCGATTCTAATTGTCACTTAAATCCTTCTCTCATGCGTTAAAATTATGAATGTCTTTAGATTTATATCTTCTTCTTCACTTGCGCATCGATCGTTAATTTATACATTTATTTCGTAAAGCAAGCCGGCGAAGGATGAATTTATGTATAGATTACGATAATTAATTCGTCTATATGTCGGGGATGTGTATTATTAATGCTACCTGAAGGACCTTACGTTAACATTAATAATAATAATAATAATAATAATAGTAATAATAATAATAATAATGATAATCATTCCTATTTAGGGTACTGTATGTGTATATCTTTATAGAGTCATTTACAACGGCCGCTCTGGATTACAATCCTTTTCTTTTTATTTTACATGATAATAATAATGATGTTCGATATTATACGCAGGATACTAATTCTGATTGACGTAGGAACAAACGAAAAAAAGAAAACGATTATTATCCTCCAGTCT